TACTTAATCCAGGTAAGCCTATCTGTTTATTGCTTTGCAAAAACTACCTAACTGTTTCCTCTTATTTTGACCGCATAAGATATTTTTATGACCCTCGTTCAATTGTTACCATCTACCCTTGTACACATAATTGTGTTTATTGACATGAATAAACGAATTTGAATTTGAGTTCTTGAATTTATTTTAGGAAAGATATAAAATTATTTGAATAAATACATTTTTTCTTAGTCGGAACGCACCGTCGCGTCGCTTGGACTGGCAGGACGAAACAGTAGATGAATTTCGCCCAAAAACCGATTTGCACTTCACAGCTTACGTTTCATTTTTATTATCTCCAAATGAAACTCTTGCAACGTGCTAAAAACAAAGTCCATATGGTGCCAGCGATCCACTTTTTCTATTTTATCCACTGGGATCTTTTTAAAACATCAAGAAGTTGAGTACAAATAGTAAGCATTTCAACCCACCATAATTCTTGCGCAAAGACAAAACTTTGTAAAAAGCTCCCTAGGCAATTATGTCCTGCTTATATCCAGAAAAACATCACAAACTGCAGAACACAAATTGAAGGTAACGGCGAAATGGGTACATTTCACGGATCATGAAATTCAAATGAAAATGCAGGTATAAAATCTACCAAATTATCATTCTCAAAAACATATTTTCTTGACATATCGATAATTTTAAAGTTCCACGCTAAATTCCCCTATACTTGACTGGAATGATATCCGAATTTGTTCTTCCCTACTTTCGGTAGTTGCAGATCTGTTGGCTCTTGGTGTCAAACCTATAGAGCAGGTACCGATGTTTTCAAATCGTGAGCACATTATTCGTCGGATTTTCGTTACTTAAATTACCTGTAATCACTGGGATCAGAAGCTTCTTAATAATAGAACGTGTTTCACTGATTTAAACCCCCCCTTTTTAAGCAGTACAATTTTTTTATGTCAATGATTAGGAACCCCTGAAACGTCAAAGACGGAGTTTCAGCAATTGTTACTTTTTTCTTTTTTGCCTATAGCACCGTTGCCACTGGACTAAAACTACACAGCTTTGGCATACTAGTAACCCCGTGTGGAAATTTCATAAAAATCCGAGCGGTAATTTCCAAGTTGATGATGATTGATACAATTTTTCGTGATGTAGATGTTATATGACTTAAAAAAACATTACATCTCATTTTAGAAATATTTCGCGATTACAATACTTCCTCGCCACTGGCGTGGGAAGTAAAACGGCTTTAAAATCGAGAAGTATCAGCGATCGCGATTATGAGTACCTATTTGCAGAACGACTTATCTATGCGATATTATATGAAATAGGGCCACCAAATTATTTGAATAGTCCGTACATTGCACCGCAACGATTGGGTTGGCAGCATGAAACAGTAGACGAAATTCGTTCAAAATACGATTTGTAGAGGTTTGTGGGAAATTGACGCTTTATTTTTTGATATTTTTGAATGGAATTTTCATAGTGTGCTGGAAACAAAACCACACAGGGTGCTGCTTTCATTTTTCAAAAATATTGAAAAATGGAGTGCCAGTTTCGAAGCAGCTGAACCCTTGTAAATGGCTTGAAACTCACTGTGTCGGAGCCGCCTTAAAGAATATTTGTCCTCATCGTACGACTATATTCAGGTGGTACAGTTGGACGAACGAACTAGTACTGGAATAGAATACTTTCAAGCAGAACCGATTTTGTGGAATACAAATTTAAAAGAATATAAAATAAACTGAAAGCCCATGATTCGTGGAAACGTATTAGTACATGGAAAATTCGTTATTAGCCAGCTATAGACGGTATAAAAATCGAGTCAAAAAATCGGAAAAATATGGTGCTGGTGTCGACGTCATTTATCAGCCAATATGGTTCGCATACGAACCTTTAATATAGGCGTAAGTATAATACGCCACTGTGCAGAGTAATAAGCTTGTCGGGACATTTAATTCTGCGTCAACCGTCATCGAGCACGAGAACTGTATTGGGAACCTTGCGAGTATGGACCCAAAGAAGTTCTCGCCGAGATTATCGGCCAGATTCTCGGGTGAGTGTGGAGCGGCTTTAAGAAAAGATTCGTAGAGTGTTCCCTCGACAAAGGGTGTATCAGCAAAATCTTCAAACGTTTGAGAAAGAAATTTTTGAATCATTCGAATATTTTTTAAATACATTCAACAGAACATAAACTGCTTCAGCAGACAAAATGTCTGAATGTGGACCTGTGGCAAGTCGTACGTCAATCGGCCACAAAAACGCACTCGAGCTATTTTCGTACAAATCACACACTATTGGCGCGAAATGTTGATTTAATAAAATACATTTTCGGTGTCTGGCTTAACCAAAATATTTAAACTGTAGGCATACGTGTCTCTGTTTCATTAAAACAATAATAAACAGTGTTCGTTTTTAATAGACGCGTGGTGACAGTGCTGCAATAGAACTTCAACATAGGCGTGCTAGAGACTAGAAATAATTGTCTGATACGGGGCTATAGGGGCATCAAGCCTCGACGTGTGTGAGAAAAGAGGCGTCAAGTAGGTTAACTCTGCACTTCCCATGCAACGCCGATATTTCATGTTCAGCACAAGTTAGACCCTATCGAAATAAGACAGCGCCATAGACCTTATATCCTGGACAGAGATTGTTGTTATGCTTTCGTTCGTTGTTCGAGAGACCATGCTGATGAGTTACCGAAAAAGCACGGAACAGCGGTCTGTGGCTGTCGTTTCTCCCCAAAGCATGATGGGTTCCAGGATGCAGAGCACCCACAAAGCGCCAGTCAGCAGATGCAGGGACTCTTGTCGCAAATTGCGGTACATCCTTCTCCAGACCCCCACAGCCCACACCTCCCAATTTTCAGCACCTAAAAAGTCAGTCAAACCGATTATTTCCCTATCCTATCGCTAGTGCATCTGGAAACGTCGCCCCTCCCCGAAGCTTAACTCTGTCAGACGTGGCAGCGAGGTCAGAACATACAAAACACTATGATGTGACGCAACAGCATAGTTTTTATTTAGTTTTAAGGGCTACTATGGACAGAAATGTATGATGAGTGAAACATGTCTAATAGATGCGTAGAATTACTACGGTTGGGAGCATATGAAATTGAAAAAACACTCCCCACCCCCGTACAATTCCACCTCATTTTTTTTACCTCTAAGATGTTTTTCAAAAATGAAAGAAGAGTCATCTTCCACCAAGACAATGCAAGCTCGCACACAGCCCAAAAAACAAGGCAGTATTTAACGAAAAAAAACCTGGAGTTATTGGACCATCCTCCATATAGTCCCGATCTAAGTCCTAACGATTTCTTTACTTTCCCGAAGATTAAAAACAGACTGCGTGGTCAAAGGTTCCAGTCACCAGAAGAATCAGTTGACGCATTCAAAAATGCCGTTTTGGATCTGCCAGCAAACGAGTGGAATAAGTGCTTTGAAAATTGGTTCGAGCGCGTGCAGATGTGTATTAGTCTTCCTGGAAAATACTTCGAGAAACAATAAAGTCATTTAAAACTACCTACCGTGTTGTTTTATTTCCATATGCAAAACTTAAAAGACATCCCTCGTATGACTACGACCGTATTACTCAGTAGATCTTGAGTATTATACCAAGATGTGCATTTGCGAGTCAGTCAATGGACGTGTCTTCAATTCTATTTCTTCTGATTACTTTAGTAAACAAAAGAAGAGAAATGTGAATATCCAAACATCGAAAATAGGCGACACGGCTGGGGTGTTGCCGCTTCAGTTGCCGGCACCCTACGCCTGATTGCATATAATAAATTCTTTAAAATTGTCTGACCCCTCTTCAATGGCTCAATTAGACCCCGGTCCCCACCCATTTAACAATGTTGTGATCACAGTTGCGACGAGCTAACTTCGCCTGCAGTTGCGAGCTCGCATCCGTTCCAAGCCAAGTCTTAAGGAAAAATGGATAAGGAAATATAGGTATGTGTGATATATGCCCTCCCTTACTGACCTCAACACCTCACCCCTAATCTTATCCCTCAAAAAAAAATCCCAAAGTGAGCAGGAGTCTCTGAAGTCAAACAAAGTATGAGCTATTTTTGTATGTTCATTTTAGCCCGCCAGTGGCTCGATTTTCGAGACCTATGAAGCTTCTTCGTCGTTGATAGAGTAGTGTCAAAATTTCATCAAAACCCTAGAAATGCTTTCCATAGAGAGCATTAGCGGACCGACTGATAAGGGACCGACGGAAATGAGTGGCAGGTTCTTCGCGTATTTTATTTGTTCATTTCCGACTTTGTGAAAACCTGTCAAGGCAGATAAGACGTGCGTGAAGTCGTTTTATTTCCTTAAATACATATTACTGCGTGATTAGTAAAGTGCTAACATTTGTACATGGATCCGGTTAGCATTAGGATCTGCAAGACATATTGTACAGGCCCGCCAATGTTACAAACTGTCCCTAAATCTTAATATGTAAAGTGGTGCATTTTCGCAAATAACTATTATTATATAAAAAAGTGTACATCGGCAACGCCTCTGGCAGTGGAAAGAAAATACATCCTCCAGGAAAATTTATTCGAGAGTGGTTTCAAACCGCATTTACAAAATACAGAAATACATACAGAATAAAGAACTGATATTTCTACGTGAATTAACTGGTTATCTAATTATTTCTATTATCGTGTTTTTTTTCATAATTTCATAACTTCTTTTAAAAATATATTGGAATTTTAAATAAAGGCGGTATATCATTAGAATATTTTTGAAACAGTATATGCGGTGACATCTACTGGACACTAGTTACACTTGAATTCGGTGGTTATTCAACGTTGCCAGATAAACTATTATTCATGATTCATTTCGATGCATAACCTATTTTTGAGTCAGCTGGATGTCTTGGTGGGTTCAAATCAATTAAAAAAAATGATCAATGCTGCAAATGCAGTCCACACAACTGTGTGATTGTGGTTTGAATCGTTTAAATATTTTTTTGTCGATACTATGGCAACAGTGGATGTAAATGTCAACTTTAGTAACTTCATGTTTTATGATATTTGTTTTCGTGTCAAAATTTATGTTTATGATTCACTTTTTGAAAAACCATATGATGAATTATCAATAAAACACATCAGGTAGAGATTACTAGATAAATTGAAGAGCAACTGCAATTTTTACATATCATTTTCACGTGTTGCCAGATTATCCAGCATTCTAGATTAAAAAAGCGTGTTAAAAAGGTAGGATTTTTATGTATAGCCCCAGAAAGCGTACAAATATGGAAAAATTGTAAAAGTTCCATATGAAACACCACATATTTCAAAAGGGTACTATTGTAGTATAGTATAGTTATGAACACAAGGATAAATGCTGTGAATTGTTGCAAGATATTTTATGAGGAAAGATAGCATAAGCAGTGGATAACATGAATGATGTATTGTTAGATAATATGCCTTTGGCATATCTAGGAGCCAAAGTAATGATAGTTTATGTTATGGTTACAATAAAAAGTGTTGATGGTACCTAGGTCCAGAAATTGAGTTTCCAGTTAGAGATGGGAAGTTGAATATAAAAATTCTGACTTTGAATTTAGCGATATGAAAAGAAAGCAAAGGATAACATCCTAAATCCATGTTTAAAATAAAAGAAACTTGCCTAATTTTCGTAAAGGGTACAAACCAAAAAAGATGTAGGGAATGGCATTGATTCAATTTTCAAGTTTATCTAATATTTCAAAATTCTCTCGTACAGAACTAGCATTTTCTGTTATTCACATTCTTCTACAGGGATGAAGATGCAAGGTTGGACATTGATTAATATGTGCTAAACTACAGTTTAACCTGGTCTCTATTATTTCAATACTGCATTAAAAATTGTTTTAATAATGTCATCTAAATGTGCCCAAATGCATCCTTTTGAGTCCAGTATCTTTGTATACAACATTGCCCCAACAGTCTTTTTAATATGGATCTGAGGGATTATCCTTAATTTTAAAACATCTGCATCAAAAATTGGCAACTTGAACTTGAGGATTTGATCAAAAATCAAGTTTCAATACTTTTAAGCAACGTATTTCCACTCACTTTCAAGCATATTTTTGTCCATCATTTGTTTCAGAGTAGATAATGGAAAATGGAAATGTAAACAGGGATCAAAGCACAAATTATAATATAAATTGGTCCAGATTTGGACTAGGCACAGAAACTGCACAAAGAGTTAGAGCAAACACAAGTGGATTTGTAGATTTATCATCAGACTGTGATTATGGTGGGGGTGGTCACCAAGCCTCATCAGCAAATGAACTTTTTGCAGAAGAACAGGTACTATTCTATGTGTATAACATTTTGTATGGTTGCTTTCTTCTTTGAAGTCATTGCCCACTATGAAGTATAATACTCAAATCATATCAGGTTTGTTCAAGAACATAGCGTAATTTTGATGGTAGTGTCACACCTGTTCATGGCAAATTATGCTGATACACCAAGATGCAAATGAGCTTGAACAACAGCATCTCACAATCCGATCATGGAGTTTAGAATGATTTTTTCCATGTTGGAATGGAGCAATAATCAGTTTTTGTAGTATACAATGTAATAATGATCTTTTTGCTGATTTTCATCCAAAATAAGATAGCACTCATCTCCCTTTCAAGCAATGACAGCACAAAAACTTTTACAAGATCAGTCACTTAGACATTTACAGTAATGGACAAAAGTATATAGACAAATTAATATTGTGCTGTATTTCTTTTTTAACTTGTTTTATTAATATACCAACCTGTATACATAATTCGTTATAGCATAATACTCACTTATACATAAATAAATTCATTAGACTCCCTTCAATAAAAAATTAATTGTAAAAAACTGGAACTATGAAGGACAAAAATATATAGACAAAGCAAAACAATTATAGAAAAAAGAAGCAAAGTTCATTGAATTATAGATAACCAACCATATTTGTGTTAATATTTTGTAACATAACCATTATTATCAATCACCACCTGGCATCGTCTCGGTATAAATTATTGTAGAAGTTTCTTGATATAAGATTCATCAATATGTCTCCACTTTTGCTCTAAAGCAGCAAAAAGTTAATCCTTCTTTGAATAATTTTAATCTCATATTTGCTTATCTATGTGTTCCCATAGATTTTCAATGGGGTTTATATCCAGAGACTGTGAAGGGTATTTGAGAACTGGTATTTTTTCATCCAGAAAAAATTTCTTTGCGAGATTTGAAGTGTGCTTCGGGTCATTATCTTGCTGGAAGATTGATCTTAAGGGCATATTGTCTTTCTTCTATATAGGTATAGGGTAACATGACATGCTTTAGTATGTCTGTGTATACAAACTTATCCATAATGCTATCTATTCTATGTAAAGGTCCCATCCCAAACCCCGAAAAGCACCCCCACACCATAACAGACCCGCCTCCATGTTTGACAGTGGGCAAAGTGTACTTGGGGTTCAATCTTTGTCCACTAGGACGTCTAACGTAATGAACACCATCTGATCCAAACATATTGAACTCAGATTCGTCACTGAAACATACCCTCTTCCAGTCACAGATGCTCCAATCAAGATGCAACCATGCAAATTGTAATCGGTCCTTACGGTTCTTCCTAGAGATTAGCGGCTTCTTACTCGGGCGACGCGCAAATAACTTCAAATCATTTAATCTTCTATTTATAGTTTTCGTAGAAACACTGACAATTCCTTTTGTCTCGATTTCGGCTTTTATTTGTCTTGGGGTTTTAAACGGATCTTTGGACGAAATTACTTTTATTAATCTAACTGATCTAGCATTTAGTTTTCTAGGCCGACCACTTCTCTTACAGGCTTCCAAGATACCTTTTTGTTTATATTTGTTCAGTATTGCCGAACTGTTTTACGCTTCAGCTTAAAATTTTTGCCAATGTCGACTTGACGTTGACCACATCTTTGTATAACTCAATGATCTTAGTTTTCACATCGAAAGAAATTTCCGGACCACGCGGCCATGGTCTTAAAATCACTCAACTTATTCCACAATACTTGATGAACACAAACTAATCCTCTTATGACTCGAAACTATATTAAACTAATGTTGAAAACAATTTGTCTACTAATTTTTGTCCCTCATCAAAAAGTGCTTATATTCAGAGTTGTATTGGGTTCATCTCAGATAATGTAAAAACAAGGAATTTAGTTTTTCTACTAATAACGCATTTGTTTATGGAACAATGAAGTATGAATTCGTTTTCTAAAGGTATTTAGGTAAATATTCATATTTGTCTATATACTTTTGTCCGTTACTGTATATCTGTAGCTGCACCAAAATGGAATGGTTATGATTTGGTTATCATATTCTTTAAATACTCAGATAAAACGCAGTTATTCTGCTGGAACGAACCAAGTATAATCCCTGAAAATAGTGTAGTGGGCAAAGATCTTTGTGCTTGCATTTTCTTGCAAAATTATATGATATATGTTCTTAACACAGCACTTTTCCTTAGGGAGATGTACCTTGGTGGAAATCAAACTTTTTCATATCACAACCAGTGTTATTTGGCACCTGGGATGGTGTTTTCACATCATGCTTGATTAACATATTTGGTGTAATTGTTTTTTTACGATCTGGATGGATTGTTGGACAAGCAGGAGTAGCTAGTGCTGTTATTGTTGTTTTATTCACAGGTATTTACTTTCTCAACCTAAATGCCATCAGCATAGCATATCTTATACTACATGGCAGCTTAACAACTTCCTATAATATGAGATTCGCGCATTGTATAACTCGCATCTGTCCTTATCCAGAGCATCCCGGCAGCAGTTTAGTTGCCAAGGAGAGCAGATCAAACACATGTATTGAACTGTCTTATAGAAATTCTCCCAAAAAAATTCAAATTAATTTTCAGATAGTTGCATTTCTATGTAGTATTTGATATGCTGTTACTTCAGATCATAAATCTTTCACATTGTATGAAAAGTAAACAACAAATTCTATCAGATTTTTATGTATAGTTGACTATTTATTTTTTATGTATTCACTGTGATATTATGTTTTCACCCAAATTCTGGGAGAGACTAGGTAATTGTGAAAATAAAATCTTAATACAGGGTGTTGCTCTATTAAAAAATGTTGATCGCTTATATTTCTATTCAATCAGTTGAATCACCCAGTATTTCAATAATTCAATAAAGCACTTTGAGAAAGTTTTATGACTATCAGCTATACCTACCTCTAAAATATCAGGGTCCATAAGGGGATCTTCTTGTCTTGAAAATAGCACAAATTTTAAGCTGATCAGATTTATGATATTTTTACATTTAAATATTCCAGCACCTACATAGTATGTAATTCAAAATTCCATATAATTTTTTTTAATTTTTATTCTCGATTGCTCCTCAAAAGCCCAGGAAATTTTTTACTATTATAATTAAGTATTAAGTTGAAAATACATGTTACCTGTTTGGGGAATATGTCATAAAGCACAAGTCTTGGAAATATAAACGAATTTTGTTCAACTATGCAGAATACAGAATTGAATGTTTGTAAAATAGATAGTCTGGTGGAATTAGAACGATGTAAAATGGTTTTCAAAATTTCAAATAACGAACAAAAGTGTAATACAAACATTCTGATCACACATGATGTCAGGGTTTGTTTTTATCAAAATGTTGAAAACAAGTGTTTTAAACACTGTTTAAAACAATGAAGGTGTTTTAAACCAATTTGCTTGTCATTGCCTTTCTTTTTTTGTCGACCTTTAGTGCACAAAAAACAAAACTCACCACCACGCTACGACTTCACACATTTTACTGCTGGAGATCGCAACGCGAAAAATTACAAAAGGCAAACGGTACTTCCCCGACGTTCGCTTTTAAATTGGAGATGTGCTGTGATAGAGCTGGATCAAAAATAGTAATAAAACTTTCAAGGAACTTCATTAACGTTGCTAGGTTATATAGACGATAGTTTTTTTTCTGTTTTAAACATGTATTAACAGTGTTTTAAACATGTTTTTTTCAGATAAATTTGAATCTTTTAAACAAAAAAAACATGAATTTTGTTTTTTTAAACATGTTTTTTTTCAACCCTGCATCACCATGAAACAAGATCACACATTAATTTGTACCAGATTCTTACTAGAACTAATATAGGATTAAATAACCCTGTCTCTGATTTGGTAAAAACTTATAATAACCTAAAAAATTGTGTAAAAAATGTACATGTATTCAGAAATTATGTAAAAACACTCAAAAGTCACTTGAATTGTTGCTAAAATTCGCACTTTAAGTATTGTTGTTCTCGAGGCCAATTTTAAATAGATTAGAGATCTTTGTTTTATATGAAATTTGTAAAAATTTACTGTGAATAAATATTTGTTTCAACAGAAAATAAAAATGTCAAAAGTTAAATATTCGAAAATGGGTGAATTTTGACAAATTTCAAAATTGCGTACCTTGGGCTTTTCAAGAACAATCAATTACTTAAATGAAAAGGAAAATGTAGATGACACTTTAAAATACGTATGTTCTGCAAGAAGCAATCAACTTGAAATTTGGATTATTTTCAAGGTTGAAATCACCCTTACAGATTCTATTTCTTTTATTCTTAATAATGTTGTATTTTTCAGTATTTACAGCTTTAATATCGGTATTATCAGCTGTTGGTATATGTGACAGATGTAGGATAGAAAGTGGGGGAGTTTATTTTGTGATTGCACATACATTGGGATCAAGATTTGGTGGATCCTTGGGGTTACTGTACTGCTTTGGACAGGTAAATTCAATCAGTATTTTATTCCTTCATTGCGATCTTTGTCCACTATACACTATCATATAGGATGTGGAGCGGGATTCTTAATGGGAGAGTCATTGTGCCTTTTGAGCTGCCAGAGTTCTTGAGTGGTGAAATTTATTTAGACTGTTTATAAAATATGTGCCACTAAACATCTACAGAGACATGTGGTACCACCAAGAAGGCTACCTGGCGGACTTGCCCGTTCAGTTAGAGAATTTAGAATTTAATAAATACATTCACGAATTAATAATGGTGGCGTTACTATCTGTCTTGCTGTCACTACGCAGAATGTCCGTGACTTTGTCTAAGAAAAAAATTGAAATTTGTAGTAATGGGAACTGAAAAATCATCACAGGGTGTAGATTTTTCTGATTTTTTTAAAAGCCTATAATTTTAAAAGTACACGACTTGAAGTTTTTATATTTTTCTGATAACTATTATGACTAGGCCTATCCCACGTTTCCGGCATGACGTCGACTTCAGGGTCACCCTATATACCTATGAGGGTTACAGGGGAAAGAGGGGCCCGCTCACGGACTTTGGCGAGGGGACACGTCTACATGTGACAGGTTCACGTTCTGGTGGTACCCCCCGCGCTCGATGGTTTCAAACCATCTACAACCTACAAAACCTCGAAAATTATCCTATATGGTGTGGTCGGTCATTAATGCACCAAACATTTCTAGAGTGTTGGTCACCCGAATTCAATTTTTGTGCTGAGTTAGCTAAATGAACGATAATTGCTGTCGTATTTCGGGTGCAAATCAACTAAAAATATCCCCCATTGTCCTCCAAATATTAATTGTTCCCTCATTGATTCTAACCTCCAAGATATGTCGTCAAAATGGTTTGTACCGATATCGCCCGTCATGCAGAGAGCGTGGCCTTACCGGCAACAGTTACAGATATGAAACATTCAGTATGATAAAGTATAGTGGGCAAAAATATTTAAGTAAAAATATAAATTATATGTCTAACATCACTTCTTCCATACCCTATAAATCATATTGACACATAAACTCCAGTTATGGCGACACCCATTCATGCCTACATGATTTCAAGAGCTCATGACATCCATAACGCTTAAGTAAACAGTCACTACTTTAAGGTAGCACTTATCTTGCAACAATAGACACCTTTGAGCCTACTGCTCAGATGATGTATTTATTCAAATATAACACACCCTATGCTAAATAGTTAGAATAACAACGGTCCTCCTATAAAATGCTGAGTCACTATCAAGTCACTTCGTAACTGTTATTGTTATACTACTTGGATAGGTGAAATTCCGACGCCACAGATGCTACAATTCTAAGCAATCAGTGGGTTGTCCAGCGCACTTATAGAACATGTATGATCTTCGTCAAATGGTAGGATTTATACAGAGTGTTCGAGAATAGGTGCCTCAGTGTCATATTGTTCAGATTTTATCTTCTGTTGTTATAAGCAAGTGAAATTTGGTACTTATGTAATTTGGACTGAATCGTAAAAAAATCGTGAAGCAAAATTTGACAAATTTAGGATACAAAATAGGTCGTCTCGTTGGTCCTGGTTCGCCACTGGGTCGATTCTCAAAGACTACAAAGCTTTACATTCTAGGCATAGTAGTAATCTTGTTGCAAAATTTCACCAAAATCCAAGCAATGCTTCCCACGTTATAGAGGAGCCAATGACCAGACAGACCGACAGGCTGAATGACGGAAATGAGTGACATGGTTTTTCGTGATGTACATATCATGTAACATACGAGGGATGTCTTTTAAGGTTTGCATATGGAAATAAAACAACACGGTAGGTAGTTTTAAATGACTTTATTGTTTTTCGAAGTGTTCTTCACGAAGATTAATACATATCTGCATGCGCTCGAACCCATTTTCGAAGCACCTATTCCACTCGTTTGCTGGCAGATCCAAAACGGCATTTTTGAATGCGTCAACTGCTTCTTCTGGTGACTGGAACCTTTGACTACGCAGTCTGTTTTTAATTTTCGGGAAAGTAAAGAAATCGTTAGGACTTAGATCGGGACTATATGGAGGATGGTCCAATAATTCCACGTTTTCTTCCGTTAAATACTGCCTTGTTTTTTGGGCTGTGTGCGAGCTTGCATTGTCTTGGTGCAGGATGATTCTTCTTTCGGGGGCGATTTTTCGAAGCTCGGTGATGACTTTTGGAAAACAAATGGTGTTATACCAATCCGCAGTAACAGTTCTTTGCTCATTAAGAGGAATTGTTGCAATATGACCAGCTTTTGACACAAATGTCGCGACCATCTTTTTCGAAACACTTCCAGAACGGATGACTTTTGTTGGCTTTTCTTTATCTTGGAACACCCAAACAGCCGACTGTCGTTTAGTTTCTGGTTCATAACAGTAAATGCACGATTCATCACCACTTTTTTGACACCAATTAACCCTGGCTGCTTTTTCTTACTCCTAATTCTTCATGTAAATTTTTTTGAATTGAGGTCTTTGAGATATTCAAGGACGCCTCAACCTCGCGATATGTCACATGTCTATCTTCAATGATGAGTTTGCGCACAGCATCGACGTTTTCCTGGGAGATTGCCGTTTTTGGTGCACCCACCCTGGGATCGTCGCTAAGACTCACCCGTCCACGTTTGAATGCTCCATAGCAACGGGAAATTGTCGACTGATGTGGCGCTTCGTTGCCGAAAACAGACAGTAACTCAGCAAGGCATTCTTATTGCGATAATAGTCTCTGAAAGTTGTAAAAATTATGGCGCGAAAATGTTCACGGTTGAGTTTCATTTTTCTAATGACTTGGTGACACTTAAAAATTCACTGTAGTGCAAAGTTTACTAAAGAGTGAGGTTAAGATTCAGTACTGACGTTCGATCCGCGCGGCCTACAATGTTTCTATATGCAAAACTTAAAAGGCATCCCTCGTACAAAACTATTCCCCACATCTCGTTTTCTAATTTCCTTCCTCACAAATTGGCGTGTGATAAGTAAAACGTGAAGTATCAGTCCTTGAGATTTTCCCACAGGTTTTCGTACACCCTGTATGCAAATTAAAATGTCTGTTAACTAATATTTGAACACATCTGTTTCAGGCTGTTGGATGTGCACTAAACGTGCTAGGATTTGGTGAGTCGATAGCCCAGCTTCTGGGTTTCGGGGATTCCAAATGGGCAGATCAGTTGATAGCAATGGCAGCTGTGTTGCTTCTAAGCGTCATAAACGTAGCTGGAGTGAAGTGGGTCATAAAGCTTCAGTTCGTTCTGTTACTGATCCTACTACTAGCTGGTCTTGACTTTATGGTGGGCAGCTTTGTACATACAGATGAAGGTTTGTATCTGCTTTTGGTTTCTGGGGTATAAACATAGAACACTTTCTGCCTGCACCATGCTGAACCATGTGACTTATTTCTATGTTGAGGACGAAAAGCTTCGGGGGCAAAAAAAATACAACCGTTCAAACTCCATTTGTAGAGATTTAGAGGCTCCTGCTCGTTTCTAGAAATTTTTTAGATGGGTTGAAGATTGGGTGTCATACGGAGCTCAAATTTTACATCATTGGTATAGGTTAAAAATGTTCTATTGAGAAGTTTCTGATCCTCGTAGTGTTACGCATCTGTTAGACTTAATAGTGACACAAGTTTCCCAAAAAGTTTGTTTTTATATTTGCAAATATGGGGAAGGTTCAAACATAAATTCATTCGGAAATATGCCTAGCCAAGCGTCGATTATATTCGGTTTTTTTAAATATACATACTTGATCCGTCCTTTTTTTTTGCTTTTTTTCTAATGTGGGCTAATTTGTCCCACTTTCGTTTTAGCAGCTACTACTACAATAAATTACTATACATATAACCGAAAAATGCATTCCAATCTACTTAACGTTATTTTTTTCCAGGTCAAGGGTTTGAGGGGTGGCTGAGTGGGAATTTGGAGAAGAACATGTGGTCAAACTACCAGGAAGATTACAGCTGGTTCAAGGTGTTCGGTGTTTTCTTTCCTACAATCACGGGAGTTTTGAGCGGTATTAACATGAGTGGGGATTTGAAAGCTCCCTCTACAAACATTCCAAATGGTACTCTAGCAGCAATTGGATTTGGCACTTTCCTCTATTTGGTATTCGTCATATTTTTAGGTAAGGTGAAAAGAATTATTCGCAAAACGAAGGCTTACATATAATTTAAACAATGAGATACAGGTTTGTTTTTTTGCTTGGCGCGTCCTTGATTTTGAGTACCAGGTCATGCTCGGATGTAAAAGTTCCTGCTTTTTCCATTTCCGGTATAAAAATCAGAGGTTTCCTTTGTAAAGTTTGGCTTGACGTTGAAATTCGTAGTTAAGATCATAACCAAGGTCACTTTTGGGTGATCCCCACAACTGTGCTGTCGAATATTTTTGTTAGAGCAAATTTTTTCCAATGTCTTGATTTGACCTTGGAAACTAGCTTCGCTTTTCAATTCAGATGTGAAAAAGGGAGGGTTTATTTGAAAATATTCACTTGACCTCGAAATCACCTTGAAGGCCATAGTCAATGTCAACACCATTTTGCTCCTTCAAAGCCCTACAACTTTTGTTTGAAACATTTTTCTATATCACCCTTTTTTTCTAAATATTTGGGTGAGGAGATTCAAATGGTATAACAAAGCTCTTATATCGTTAAATTGCCTACCATTCCTGACAAGGAAGCCATATGACTTGAGGGCTTCTGAAACTTTCAGACAAATATGGGGAGCAAATGTTAATCTTGGGTCATCAGGAACACCCAAATCTCTGATTGTTTTATGTTTATCCAACAACTCACCATCAATATTAAAGTTGAAAATAGGAAGGGTTTTTAACTAACAAACCTGCACTTGTTGGGATTTAGTTGTAAATTGTTGACAATGCACCAAGTCCGAATACTATTTATTCAACTCCACACAATCATGATTTCCCTTATAGACGAATATACATGTCACACACGTCGTATTTTCATGGCGTCAGCAAAACATAATTGCATACATTTAAAATTTTCACAGTGGTCATTAATAAAAAAACAGAAAAAAAGTGGTCCTAAGTTAGGCCCCTGGGGAACACCGGATGGAGCTGGGTTGGCTTCAGATTTGAACTCATTATATGCTACGTGCTGCTGCCCGCCCTGAAAAACAGGATCTGAATAATTTCATAGTACAGGGTGGGCCATTAAGTTAAGCGGATTTTAAAAAATCATGAAAAAAACTACAAAGCGTAGGGGAGATAATATATATTTATTAATTTATAAAGTAGACACATGGGAGTTTTATTTTTCAATGAATGGAACACTCGGGCTTAGAATGCTTGCCTCTAATAGCATTTTCTTAGCTTTCTAATATATATTTTGTAAGGATCTGCTATTTATTACAGGAGCTACTTGCACTAGAGCCGCACTACTTGCCGATTTCACAATCACCGCTAAAGTGTCTGTCATTAGAGTGTTGCTGCTAGCAGGACTATATGTTTCTTCAATGTCTAGTTGCTTAGGAGCTATGTATGGAACGCCAAGAGTGCTGCAAAGTATAGCTCTCGAAAACGTCATACCTGGAATTGATATACTGGGACTCGGGGTTAGTATTTTTTGGAAGTAATCTGACATTTGTTAGTGTCGAGTTTATTCAACACAAACTCAGCTAGACAAGATGTTACAGAATATTGTCAAGAAAGTTGAAAGGTAGCCTCGGCACGTAAAAGTATGAAAACTTAATGGTTGTAAAAAAATCGGATGTTTTTGCAAAAATAAGTAATTGTTTTCTCGAAGCCATAACGATTCTCCTTGTCTTTTGAAGTTTTTCAAACTGTGCGTTAAAAAAGTTCGAGTTCAATTACTATTTTTAATAATGATAGATAGATTGATGTACCGGTTTACATACTAAGATTGAGTGGTGGGACAATCATTGCATTGGATTTTTTCACTACTAACACTATGTATCACAAAATATTTGATTTTACATCACACACGTGTCTGTTCCAACTTATTTTATAAATTATATTAAATACTAGTCTAATCATAGTAGGCGAAAATACCCCTGGTTTGCGAATTAATTGCAAAGTTTGGTTTTATTGCTGCATATTTAAAACATGGCATAAAATGGGTAGGTACACTAATTCTTGTGGAAAAACTTTTTATTCGACAACAAAGAATGAGAAAGCGTGTTTTTTGGGATCTAATCGAAAGTGTTGGCAGGAACGGAAAAACTCTTCGTATAAGATTTTTAGGTATTTATGAGACCTACAAAATGAGATCACACGTAAAAAGATCCGACTGGTAGCAAAAAATTTATGGTCGAAAACCGAGACAAACTGGAGGTTCTGGCAATTGTTGGTAATGCGACGATGGTTTCTCGCAGATACTTGAAATTCGTAAGAATCATACTACTACATTACCACAACAAAACTGGAGTAGATTGGTCAAATAGTTTTTGAGAATTCCTAATTGTTTATCCCAAAACAGCTGTTTTCTAGCCATCACTAGTTTATTGAGCAATATACAGGGTTAGTTCAAATGGCATTTTATAGAAAAACACAGTAGTTTACCTTGCCAATACGAATCGCAAACCATTCCGGAAGATAAATGTTATTTTTAGGCAAAAAATTATGGATTACGTTTTTTCTTCCAAACAAATTCAAACATTTCGTATATGCGAGTAATTCTCTACAAAAGATGAAAGACACATCCGCTTTGTTTTAAAATGTGGATAGTAACGTATGTTTTTCGAATAACGTAGCGCATTTGATCAATTACTCACAAATACGAAATGATTGAATTTGTTTAGAAGAAAAAACGTAACCTTTGTTTTTCGCATAAAAATAACATGTATCTTTCGGAACGGCTTGTGATTCATATAGGCAAGGTGAACAGGTGTATTTTGCTATTAAATTATCTTTGAACGAACCCTGTATATTGCTCAATAAACTAGTAGTGGTGGCCGGAAAACAGGTGTTTTAAGATAAACAATTAAAAATTCTCAACAACTACTTGACCAATATACTAAAATTTTGTTGTTGTTATTTAAAAGTATAAATCGTACGGATTTGAAGAATTTCAAGTAGTTGCGTGAAATTATCGTCGCATTACCAACAAGTGCCAAAACCTGCATTTTGCCTCGTTTTTCGGCGACAACGTTTTTGCTATTATTCAGATCTTTTTACGCGTGGTCTCATTTTACAGGTCTCATTAATACTTAAAAATCTTATTTGAAAAGTTTGTTTGTTCCTGTCAACATTTTCGATCCCAAAAAACACGTTTTCTCATTCTTTGTTGTCAAATAAAAACTTTTCTCACAAAAATTGGTGTACCCATTTTATGCGTCCGTGTTTTAAATACCCCCTTGAACAACTTGCACCAATGAAACCGGACTTATTATTATTTCGGGAAAATTTGATAATATGATTAGACTATACACAGTTGTCTAATTGGAATATTCTGGACAATGAATTCATAGGATCTATTTACGTTTTATGGATTTCCTGTCCGATTCTCCTACTTGGATTACAAAAAGTTGATAAATGTTGTCTTTGTCCAGTGTTACATACTGAGCTCTGTCAACTAGGTTTGAAGATATAAGTTGAAGACTGTTGTTATCAAAACCATATCTGAACAGTTCTTCCACCAGCACAACATGGGAAGCACAGTTAAAAGCTTTTCCCTTATTAAAGTTCCAATAGATATGGCTGTATGTGATTTTTCGAATGTAAACAACTTTTTTCATATTTTTACATGCTAAATCTACCCATATATTTCTTTAACAACATTTTATAAAGCACAAAAAAATTAGTGATTTATGGGATTTTTATAGCGAGGCCCCAACAAAGTGCCTTTATACTCAATGGCGGTTGTCGCTGTGGTGACATTCACATTCATCTTTATTGGCGAAATCAACACCCTGGCACCAATAGTAACCATGCCCTTCCTTCTCACCTATGCTGCCATTGACTACGCTTACTTCGCACTCGCGCAGACTTTTGATATACAGCACCAAAGAGAACAGAGGTTTCATAGGCCTAGGGTTCAGCATCAGGTATCTAGTGATGATAGCGATCTGGACAGATTGTTTCCTGAGAGGACCAGGCATAAGACCTTGAGGGTGAGACGCTTTATATTTTTTGTACAGGGTGACCAATATATAACTGACTGATTTAAATTGCGCGCCATTTTTGATACAAGCATTTCAGTAGGTGGCGCCGTAGTAGTTGTTCAAAGCACATGTGTCCAATTCATCATGGAGCGCTACACTATCCCACAACGCGTCCGTATTGTTAAAACGTTTTACTTAAATAATGAGTCGATTATTGCGACGACTCGGAAGCTACGACAAGATTTCGGTCGAAATAACACGCCCAGTGTCCACACGATTCGTCAGTTGGTGCGGAAATTTGAGCAAACAGGTGAAGTTAAAGACTTGCCAAGGTCGGGCCGTGTTCGAACTGTTCGTACTCCGGAAAATGTCGAGAGAGTTCGTGAAAGTGTAGTGGAGCGCCCTGAGACGTCTACCAGACATCGTTCTCAAGAACTGGGTATTCGTCGCACGTCATTATGCACTATTTTAAAAAAAGACTGGCATTTAAACGATTTTTAAGGACAACTGATAACGAGCGATGAACCCCACTTCGGTGAGAACGGATTTGCTAATACGCAGAATTGTATCTGGGCATTAGAGAACCCACGTGTCATCCATCAACGACCACCTACACAGTTTGGTGCGGTGTTTGGTGTGGAGGTGTCATTGGACCTTACTTCTTTGAAGACGCTGAAGGTAATTCTCTAACTGTCACTGGCGAGCGCTACTGTGATATTGTGCAAAACTTTCTGGCTCCTCAAATCCAACAATTTAACCTGTAAAACATGTGGCTCCAACAGAACGGTGCAGCTTGTCACACAGCTAGAGAAATAATGAATCTTTTGCAAACAATGTTTCCGGGACGTTTAATTGCTCGATTTGGTGATGTCAACTGACCACCAAGGTCACCAGATTTAACGGTCCCTGTCTTTTTTATGGGGATTTTTGAAACATTGGTCTTATGCCAACAAACCAAATACTGTAGAGCAGCTCAAGAACAATATTACGGAAGCGATTGAAGATATCCCTCCCAAAACCTACCAAAACGTGATGAAAAATGTAATGAAGAAGGCTCAGGTTTGCGCGGCTTTTAAAGGTGGACATTTGTCTGATATTTTTCATACATGATTTCTAAGTTTCAATAAAAAATTGAGATGAAAAAAATGGACGTATTTTATTTCATTTCACAAAGATTCAAGATACAAACCAGTCCGTTATATATCGACCACCCTGTATTATAATGTCACTGACTCTAGCTTCTCTTATAGGGAGATTCAGGTACTCCAAGCGGATCGGAAGAAACAGGTGAAACATCCCCAATATCTCCAAAGCTCAATATCCATTCCAAACAGAACAGCTGGTATTCAAATTTGTGCAACAGATGGCTGTCACTTTTTGGAGTAAGTATCAAGCAACATTTCTAGAATATGAACACTTGGGTAATGGGCGTCAAAACCTTTCATGCTCGGGTTACTCAAGCAGTACCGACAATGTTTCCAGGTGGTTGAGTCTAAGTGAATTTCGACCTTTAAATTAACTTCGATATCACCTTGCCCTCACTCGTTTTACTTGCTCTGATAATTTCAACGCTGTTGTGATCATTTCAATATACAAATCAGTTATAATATTTTTTTATACTCCAGCTACCACGAAAGCCTAAGGCCCAAACACCCATGGGGTACTTTGGAACTATAGGGGGATACAGGGGTGAAGGGGGGGACGCCACATGGACTCTGACAAGGGAACACGTGGGCATGCAGCAAGCACACATTCTGGCCCCACCTACGAGATCCGCCGGGTGGTACCTCCGCGTACGACAGTCAGAGACCGTCTACCACCTACGGACAATTACAACATCCATAGCCAAGAGAAAAATTTCTCTTGGAACGGGATTCGAACCCGCACAGCGTACGGCGACTGATCAGGAGACCGAACAGTCTACTACTGCGGCCACCGCTGCTGCCTGAGCTTCAGTTAGGACCGTCCGCAAATTGTTCATAAGATACGACTGGGAGTTTATCTTTGGTCTTTGGCTTTATAGTTTACAACTTCCGGCGGTCCTGCCAACTGATATCTGATCTGATCTGAGTTTCGACCCACGTTGTAACTACTGCCTGTTTCAGGCAGCAGCGGTGGCCGCAGTAGTAGACTCTTCGGTCTCCTGATCAGTCGCCGTGCGCTGTGCGGGTTCGAGTCCCGTCCCAGGAGAAATGTTTCTCTTGGTTATGGATGTTGTGATTGTCCGTAGGTGGTAGACGGTCTCTGACTGTCGAACGTGGAGGTACCACCCGGCGGATCTCGTAGGCGGAGCCAGAATGTGTGCATGTTGCATGCACACGTGTTCCCTCGCCAGAGTCCGTGTGGCGTTCCCCCTTTCCCCTGTATCCCCCTATAGCCCCACGGTACCCAATGGGTGTTTAGGCCTTAGGCCTTCGTGGTAGTTGGAGTATAAAAAGAAACGGATGACAGAAAATTTACGAGCGGCTTCCCTATTATAATGCTGATCACTCCCAAGGTCAGTGGGGCCGATCGGCGGATTATAGAACCATTCTACGAAGTGTCTTGTCTTGATATACTCATTGCTTAAACTTTTTTTCAGGCTATGTTGAAGATACTAATAATGATGCTAGTCAACTGGTACTACGCTTTGGCATGTATCAGTGTGGTGTTTTTAGTCTGGTTGTATATAGGGACAGCGAATCCGGCAGTGAAACCTGGCTTAGCATCTGAATTCCATTTTTTGAGGTGGCTGAAGATTGTTCTGCTAAGGGCCCTGGGGTATGTCAATTATTTCTATTACGTATTTGTAAGTGCCGTAAAATTTAAAACTAAAATTAAGTATATATGATGCTATAAACTATAAAACTGTCTATTATTGTATACCTGATAAAGTATTAAATGCTTCTAAAATTCCATTTTTACCGTGTACATGAAATATATTCAACAAAAATTAATTGCTACCTAAATTTCTATGTTACTGTGTGTTGAAAATATATTATTTTAATAGTGACATAAATGTATGATCAGTTACTGTATTCTTGATAATGATGTCGAATGCATTATAATATTTAGCGGAGTTATAGGAGTAAGAACGCTGAAACATGGCTGTGCAATAGAGAGAATAGATAATGTGCTCGTATACTTTAATTTGAATCGTGAATACTGATTCTAACTGTTAGCTTGTTCCATAAACGTAGTAGTGATTGAGTGGTTATGATAAACTTTATAAGGCTATTAATTTTGAGCCATCCAAAATCTTTGATTGGGTCAATTACATGATCATATTATTTGTTAACCGACAATAAGAATTTTAAATTTTTTTTGTAGCCTGAAGGCGAACATTTGGTCTAAACAAGGATAATACGTTATGACTCCATATGAAATTTTGGAAATAATTAATGATTCACATAATTGCTTTTTTGTTTAAAAACTGATTAAGTGCCTATTGGTTTCGCCTAAAATAGCATGTTGTGATGACGCTATTAACATGCGTGCGAACACGTAGGTAATCGCCTATGAGCAGACCCAAATCCTTGCGTGCATCAATTTTAAATCTATGCTGCCTATTTTCAAGTCCAGGCCTACTTTTAGACGTCTCCACTTTTGTTTCTTGCAAAACACTACATTTGATATTTGAAGATTGAGTTTCATATTATTAATAGCTGAATAGTTATTAATTCTTTAGAGATCAATATTTTTTTTAGCCTCAGCCATTTTAAAATCATCAGGGAAAGCTTAACAACAATTGAGTATCATCGGCATAAGTTATACTAGAGTTTTTAGTTTTGACGACCAAATCAAATGTATATATTAAGAACAAGAAAGGCACTAGAATTGTACTTTGTGGTACCCCGAAGGACATTTTTTTATTTGAAATACTTGTGCCCAGAACCACCTGTCTTTAAGATATGACGTTAGGAAACGGTGAATACGAAATCTTGAGAATACTTACAAGGGCGATTGACGTCTATTGAAAAGATAAAAGTGAAACAAGAATTCAGGATCATCAAAGAAAACAAAGGAACTCAGTTTTTTTTCAATAGGATGCTTAAATCTGTTCTATCAAATGTCTTTCCCATTAAGCTGCCCCTATCATCCAAACTTTCGCAAATAGTTTGTGTTCAGAAATATCTGATGAATCATATATGTTTCAGCCGACGGGTGATAGACTATGAACAAATAGTAGTGTCTCCAGTGGACCCTAGTGTGGACGTTACTCCATCTCAGCTGAACGAAGACAACCAGGACTTTGCAAACAGGAGGAGGTACCACCAGTCAGCAACGATTCACGGGCACATGGTCAATATAGATGACTGACAGTTACTGCAACAATCGGCGGAATATTGCTAATATTTATTTGTTTTTTGGACTGCAGATGGTACGGAGATAGCCCGTCGAAAGCGCGCAAGATAGTAGCTCAGCTGTGAGATTGCATGGATCGCTTAAGCTCACTCGAAGTTTCCACGTGTGTACGAACATACCGTAAAAAAAGAGTTGAAATCATATATTTTCTAGTATCTATCAATCACTAAATGGTGTATTTGTGGGAATCCGATAAAGCATCCAGGTTTTATGTTACGATGTTTTTTAGAAAAAATTAAAGAGCTGTTTTACAGCAGAATTATACTCTTGAGGATATACCCAAAAGCCCTTCATCAAGAAATACAAAGGTTTTGGCGACGAACTTTTTTATTAAACGTCAAAGTTGGTAAAATCACTTTTCCACATATACTCGAATAGTTATGAATTATTGGTGCAAGTGATCTAAACAAGTTGTAACCGATAAAAATACCTTCAGAATGAGACTTTACAAGACCAATTTAATTTGTTATAAAAAATTATAAAAAAACCGTCGATTTCTACACTTCGGAAATACCATAAGAGTAAATCTGAAATTTTAGCCAAAATTTGAAGTCCTTGAGGCGACTACAGTAGAAAAATCATCCGAAGTGCTCAACTGACTCTGCAAATTCAAGATTTTTTGTTTGTATTTTTTTAAAAGTTGCCTTCTTCAAATGGCCTCATTGTACCCATTTTCTTGCTACGGACTATTTAAAATTGTATTAAAAGCTTTTTTTCATACTAACCATGTGAAAAACCATCTATTTGTTTTGGCTGTCGCAATTAGAATGCTTCGCCACTGAAAAACTTATAAATATAAAGTTCGGCAAACATGTTTGAACAGTAGTTCGAAATAGTGTCCCTTTTGGAATACCGACTATACTCGGGTACCAAAAAGGATGAGAGAGGTACGCCACTGACAGCGCGGTATGTCTTTGAAAGTGGCGGAATTCGTGCGCACCGACTTGAAGACACGTTGCGCCGCAGTGGCGTGCGATATGTTTTGCTGCTCACTTCCTTTTCGGTACCAGAGTATAGCAGTCATTAAAATTAACTAATTTGTCTACCATGCCTCTTAATTCAAGCCGCGATACAAGACATAAATGTTGAATGCAAAATTGAGAAAAGAAAGAAATCAAATATAAACTACTGCTCCTAAAACACGTGTGTAGTCGCAATATGGCAGGCAGTCCCTAGTGAGTAACGGTACTACGATTTCTTCAAGAACAAATGTTACTTAAGCCCACAAATATTCAAAAGAAGTTCTTTTTTGTGTCAAGGTGTGTATTTTGATCAACTTTTCAGTATCTACTGAGAGTCTTAATTACGATTCTCAAAAAGCAACGGACTTATTTAGTTGATAAGATATATGTACCATTTGAGTAACCCAATGTAGCTGGACATCTTTTTTTTGCACATGAAACAAGGAATTTTTCTCGAAAAAAAAAATAGTAATAATCAGACATTTGTAGGAGCCGTTAATTTTTGAATGACCTTGTTCAATATTAAGCAGCAAAAAGGCTTCAACTCATGGCTATTATATTATTATATTTACCATTAGGCATATTCTGGTCAAAAATAAGTGTAGAAAACGACGATTTTTGTCTTTTTTGTAATAACAAATTAACTGTTGCAGCGATGTAAGGCCTCATTCTGGGCCTGTCTTCATCCTCTACAACTTTTTTGAACCACATACTCTAATAACTCATTACTATTATTTATATGCGAAAGAGTGTCAAACTTTGATGTTTAATAAAATAGTTGCCCGGCAAATTTTTTTTTATATCTCAATGGTCTTCAAATACAGTAGTGGTCAAAAAAATAAGAGTGCACATTTTGAAAACCAATAATTAAATGTCATATATAATTGCCACTTAAGCAATCCAATCTTATGCAAATTAAGAATATTGTTTTCTCTTTTAAAATACAATGAAAATATTAATAATGACTTGAAAAATAAAAGTTCAATTCAGATTTTGTGAAAATACAAGTAGTCAAAAAATAAGAGTAAATTTAAACAATAGATAAAACAGACAGAACACTGCATTTAATTAACATATTTTTATTTCTAATTAACGAGTATTTTTAGTACTTGGTAGTGTAACCCTTGTTCTTCAGGCCAGCACCACATCTGCTTGGCATTGAATCCATAAGTTTGTGGCAGGTTTCCGGAGGTATTGAATGCGAGGTTTTTTGAACTTCTTCCCAAAGTAAATTTTGGTTTGTTGTGGTTTTGTGTGATATTCGATGCTTTAATTCCTTCCAAAGATTCTCTATCGGATTCAGGTCGGGAGACTGCCGAGGTCACCGCAAAACTTCAATTTTCTTCGACTGGAACAACTGTTTTACTACCTTTGCTGTATGCTTAGGACCATTATCCTGTTGATAGATCCAACTTAGTGGGATATTTTCCTTAGCATAAGGTAGCATAACATTCTCCATGATTTGTAAATAAATTTCCTTGGCCATATTTTCTTTTATCCAAAAAAATAGGTCCAACGTCGTATGAAAAGCAACCTCGTATTTTGATATATTATCCGCCATGCTTAATCGTTACTATTATGTAGCGCGGATTAAAATACTCTTATTTTTTTGTCCACAAAATCTCCGATACCTGATAGAACTGAATGGCCTTGACATTCGATATGTGTATTTTATCAGCGTGTAAAGCATAAATCTTTATCTTATATAATGCACTATCTAAGAAAAAAATTACTCACCTTGATAATTTGGTTTTTACATAACATTTTAGATATTAATTTTTTGACCACCACTGTATATTCACAAAAATATCACTCTGTTGCAAAACAGCTTATAACAATTTTTCTGTCTAATTCTTGAAAATCTGGCATATAAGCTATGGTTTCAGTCATTGTTGCTTTTTCCTCGGCTTAGCAAGACTCACTTTCGTAATTACTGATATAAGAAAAAATCACTGGCGCATTTTGTGTACTTATTTTTTGGTACGGGATAATTTCTCATTTTAATGTATTAGTTTCATGTTGGGCTCAAAATATAGTAGCATCTGCATTTCGACCTTTTGTTATGTAACATTGTGATAAATAATTTTTCTATCTCCACAAACACAGGTTGTGTAGAGATGTAATTTGTAAATGGAAACGTATAATAATGATGATAATAAAGATAGCATAAAATCATAGTTGTCGTCATTAGATTAAAAATAAAATTTGGTTGAAAAAAGGAGTCCAAAAAGTCACATATAGAGGTTATATGTTTTGATTCTAAAATTTTGCAAAAGTGTTATGATTACTAATTTATTACCCAAATATTCCATCTAAGAATATGACGTCTGTTTGCTTTAAGTAAAATATATCTGTGACGTACACTTTGAGAATTCACATGGGACATAATAACGTGGAAGTAAGGCGGACTCTAAGGCGATATTTTCGACACCTATTCAATTTTTTATCATACTTAAGTTTATTTCAGTGACTCATTTTCACTATGAAATGCTTGTTTTTTGGTTTTCAGTCATAAATTTATCCTAATACTTTTAATTCAATGTTTATCCGCGAATACCACCTTGAACTGGCACTGGCACTGTGAAGACTACATACTATTTTTTGCAACTCGGTTAAATGCATTTTGTATATTTTTATGGTGCAATTTTATTCTAACATTTTACTACTAGTGTGAGTGGTTCATATCTTATTTTGTCCGTTTTGTGCCTTGGCATTTTTTAAAGTTTTATGGAACAAAATAATCTTTATGAATGTTTAATAGAATGTACAGGATCTCATTCTGTTTTGGACTGATTTTAAATGCCTATATTCTCTGAACATTATACTTGTACATAGTCTTTAATAAAATATACACATATCTACTTTTTTATTTAATTACATAAACACTGCCCACAAAATGCACAGTTTCACAAATAAAAATACTGGTTTCAGTGGCGCACTACTATACTTACTATTCAACCAATCAATAAGGGTACAACAGGAGGAGGAATAAAGGACAGCTAGGTTGGTGTGAAACTTATAATTTTAGTCTAAAGTGTCGTTAGAATAATACTCCTAAATCACTATGTACATAGAAAGGTGTCAGTATTTATCACGGCCTAGAATTCTTACAACATGTCACATATCATGGATTCAATCTAATAAACAGTAATTCTATTAAAACAAAGTCTGTTGGAACAAGCAAGTTTAGACTAAACAGAAAGAGCTAGTGCAGGATTTGTTTGTCTCCAATATATAATTGACTCATTTAAATTGCGCGCAATTTTAGATACACGCATTTCAGTAGGTAGCGCCGTAGTAGTTGTTTAAAGCACGTGTCCAATTCATCAATGAGCGCTACACGATCCCACAACGTCATTTGTTGCAACGATTCGGAAGCTACGAGAAGATTTCGGTCGAAATAATGTGCCCAGTCTCAACACCAATCGTCAGTTGGTGCGGAAATTTAAAAAAACAGATGAAGTCAAAGACATAGGCAGCAGTAGTAGACTCTTCGGTCTCGTGATCAGTCGCCCTGCGCTGTGCGGGTTCGAATCCCGTCCCAGGAGAAATGTTTCTCTTGGCTATGGATGTTGTAATTGACCGTAGGTGGTAGACGGTCTCTGACTGTCGAACGCGGAGGTACCACCCAGTGGATCTCGTAGGCGGAGCCAGAATGTGTGCATGTTGCATGCACACGTGTTCCCTCGCCAGAGTCCGTGTGGCATTCCCTGTATCCCCCTATAGCCCGACGGTACCCAATGGGTGTTTAGGCCTTAGGCCTTCGTGGTAGTTGGAGTATAAAAAAAAACTTGCCAAGGTCGGGCCGTGTTCCAACTGTTCGTACTCCGGAAAATATCGAGAGAGTTCGTGAAAATGTAGTGGAGCGCCCTGAGCCGTCTACCATACATCGTTCTCAAGAACTGGGTATTCGTCGCACGCCATTATACACTATTTTAAAAAAGACTGACATTTGTGGCCGTACAAAATTCAGTTAACCCAGAAACTACAGCCTATAAGTTAAATACCAGAATTGATGACGGTAGCAGAAGTCATCGTGCGCCACTGCTTTGACGCTGTACCTTTTGATTACAGCTACGTTTACCGACATTTCACAAAGAAGCGCCGCATTTTCGAAGTCCCCCGCGTAATAGCAGTGGCATACGATGAGTTTCGCTACTGTCATCAATTTTGGTATTCTACTATAGTGACCATACCGACAGTACAGTCATGCAACATTACAAATTAATACACAAAAAATAACGGATATGGCATATGAATGGATATGTTAGTAAGCAGAATTGTCGTGGGCATTAGAGATCTCTCGTGTCATCCATCAACGACTACTACATCCTCGTCCAGTCACAGTTTGGTATGGAGGTGTCATTGGACCTTACTTCTTTGAAGACGCTGCACGTAATTATCTTACTGTCACTGTCGAGCGCTACTGTGATATGGTGCAAAACGTTCTGGCTCCTCAAACCCAACAATTTAACTTGCAAGACATGTGGTTCTAGCTAGGGAAACAATCTTTTGCGAAAAATATTTCGGGACGTTTAATTTCTCGATTTGGTGATGTCAACTGGCCAACAAGGTCACCTGATTTAACGGCTCGTGACTTTGGTTATATGGATTTTTGAAAATAGGGTTTATGCCAACAAAATAAATACTATAGAGCAGCTGAAGAACAGTATTACGCAAGTGATTGAAAATATTCCTTCCGAAACCTTCAAAAAGTGTTGGAAAATGCAATCAAAAGGGGTCAGATTTGCGCGGCTTCTAGAGGCGGATATTTGTCTGATATTGTTTTACATACATAATTACTAAGTTTTAATAAAAGATTTAGATGGAAAAAATGGACGTATTTTATTTCATTTCACAAATATTCAAGACACAAACCAGTCAGTTACATACCGGCCACCCTGAAGTACATAGTGGGGATCAATGTGCGCTTAAGTCGATTTGTTGAAAGTTCTATCTATTCATAGTGTTAGTGATTTTTTTGGAAGTGCGACTGTTGGCAAATAACTGTGGTGTTAGACAATTTCAAGACGTACTACATCTTAGATTTGCAGAGTCACACAAGCCTAATGAAGGTAGATGTTTCCACTGGTATTATTATTATGTTGATACAACGCTGTCACTTTGGTAGAACAACAAAAAGTATGTCCTGAAGCTACGCAATTTTGGCGACAAACAATGCAATGTAAACACATAGATACGGTTCCTGATCTATTAGAATCCTTGGTTGGAAGGAAATGCTTATACCCCCATCTAATAAAGTTTCGCTACGCCTTTGGTTTTCACGCATACCACCACCCAAGCAGCGTTGCCAGATCTATTCATATTATTAATGTAATTTTGAAAAAAATCAAGCACCTATGCCGCTGACCTTTCTGGATTATCTACGGAGAAACCAGATGCAGTTCTTTGTCGAGGCAGTATTTGTCTCTCATGAAACCTGGGATTACTTGCAATCGAGGCATCACTATTTTTACGTTTCCTGAATCTGGTCTTGCAATAGTTGAAGCAACCCCCCACGATTTCTGATATTAGCGATGCAGCTCCCATCAAGAAGCCTGCACCAAGCAACAAAAACATGCCCTGGGTGTCATCTAGCGTCAAGGCCCTATCTTCATAGCTCAGGATCTTCAGACCACCTTTTTTTGAGTTCGCCTATAAACATATTTCATAACAAATTATATTGAAATACATAATAAATAAAATATTTATTCTTAAGTTTAACTAGTTTCTTAACAACACTTTCAGTCAACAGTTATAGAGCAACAATCCACAATAAGTTAACAAAAGGGTAAAGTTTTCTAATAAAAATATGAATTTTGATGTATAAATTTAAACTTGGCAACGAGGCCTCAGGTACCGACTGAGAAATTCTTAGTTGATATTTTGCTCAACAGATGTACCTACTTAAAATTTTTTGAATACAGCTTTTATTCAAATATTTAAACGAAAACTATTCACAGTTTTCCTATTATCACTTATATTCAATTATTTTCTAATTTCCTATGAAATAATAGCACCTCACCAACTTTGGCCAAATGATATGAACAGCTTGAAGTTCTCAAGCAGGTCACCATATTGGCCAAGTATCATCAACAAAAAAATCTAATTATTCGAAAACGTTGTTTGATTATGGTGGTAACAAGTACTCATTTTTTCGTTCTGTCAATTTTTCACCTCACGTCAAGAAAAATAAGTAGTGCGAATATTGTTTTTCGGGAAATTTACTGTGACTGGTGAAAGTTCGCATCTACAAGCTTCTGTAAGTATTTAGAAATAACTAAAAGTTATTTAATATACACAAGATGATCACGAAATGTCATTATCTTATGCAATTTCATTTATAGGCAGTGAGTTACTCGGTTACTGGTAGCAGAAGGAATTAGCCATCAAAAGGTATTTAGTGAGCCTTTATGCATGATACTTTATTTAATTAGTACGTGATTTTCAAAGCCTAAACATTGTAACTGGAGTTTTTATGGCACTTTTGCTTCAGAGTCAGTATAGATATTTGTTACAGTACTTTATGAAATGATGACAGCATTGCGTGGAAAGAGCAGTCAATCTAATCGACATCTTTTCCGAACAAATCGATTGCTTAAATAATCCTTATTAGGAAGCTCGTGATGACCTTTACTTTTTGAGTTGGCCTCATATCAGTTTCTTGAAACAACATAAATAACTTACTGCCAATAATTTTCCCGTTGCACTTCTCATCATTTCCCATTCAACATCACCTTTCAACTTTTTAAAAAGTCCTGATTCGATGATTCTCATTATGCCATAGTCGAAAATCTCACTATATACTGAATTTCTTGGAAATGCTATCGCCACATTGAATGGTACAAAACACTCTTCGGCGATATGCGGAATTTGTCTCTTGCTCCTAAAATATCAAAAACGAATTTTAAGGTTGAGGACTGTACAGGTTGATAAGAACGACAATATATCTAGAGCATAAAGTACATCCAAAAATAACATACAGGGTGTTCATTTGAATACTTCCCAGCACGGATTTATCGGAAACCACTGATTAAAAAAACGCCGAGACACGTCAAAGGATTCTTGAAGAAGGACACATTTTTAACCAAAAACTACACAATAGATTTTAAATGGCCGCATAGAAAATAGTCTAATGGTGTCAAATCAGGGGATCTAACAGGCCATTCTATAGGCCCTCTTGTGTCGTCTTGCTGGAAATACAGGGTGGCCCATCCATGTGTGGACGGAATATTACTAATAAACAAATACATTTTGGGAAAATCTATTCATGGCATATTATACATGACATTTGAGGGCCCGTTTCTAAAATATTGGCCATTATACAGGGTGTCCCAGTTTCGGCCTACATATCGAAGTTGTGATTTTTCAAATGGAATCCCGCAAATTTTATTGCACATTTGGATAAACCAATTCAAAAGTAGAATATTGATATTACATACTATGGGGTTTTGGTAATTAGCTACTGAGATGTAAGGTGTTTTGTCCATAAAAACCGTCTACTTCGCCAACGATTTTGAAATTTGGAGTGCTAAATTTTGTATCAAAAAAAATTTACACACCTCATCTTAATCTTATTTGTTAGTTTTTCGAACTTTTTGCTCATACAGCGTGGTCAAAAACACACATTGTAGTTTTCTTTTCTTTTTATAAGCTTTTTTTTGATACTAGACACATAAGGGTTTTTACGACTCTTTTTTCGGTAATTACCACGTCTTTTATGGAACGGCTTAATTCCCTAAAATATCGCTTCATCCTTGGAAACAAATAAATTGTTGATTAGTTACAAACTGTCAAAATTAGCTTTGTGAGCATTATAATAAAAACGTGTTTGGAAATGACTTTTTCTAAAGAAGATTTGGATAATTGTATTCGAATGGCGGTATCAAATCATACTCCAAACATTAAAAAAAATCTCATTGAACACGCATTTTTTATCTGTAAATGTTTTTGTTCAAAATAGTGCGTTGCTTTTTTTATTTTTAGTTACCTCTATTAAATCGTATGTGACATACCATTGTAGCTGACGACGTTTATGTTTCAAACACCTACGATTGGTAGGAATGGATGTTGTTATCTAGTATGCATTAGTTTTTAGTTTATTTAAGTTTATATGTACGTATTAGTATTAGTAAAATAAGCACATGTATGTCGCATACGACTGTGTATAATTCATTTAAGTTGGCTTACATTGCTTACGACTAGGTAGCTCACTGTCTATTGCGAAATTATCAAAGTAACTCAACACACCAAAAAGGTTGGCGACCACTGCCTTAGGTCTTCGTGGTGGTTTAAGTATAAAAAAACTTACTTTGTGGAAAAGTTAGTTCGGATGATGTAATCCATTTGTTCTTTTGATCCAAGGAAAGCGTAGTTCCAAAAGAACGCTGTCGTGGTGTTCCTTAATCCTGACTGTATGTCAGGTACGAGGTCTAAGTCGTCGATAAGTTGCTCGACCCTCGGGTCTGAGGAGTTTTTGAATAAGAAAGGCCATTCCCCGGTTGCTAAAAAATAGATAACTGGTTAATTTCCTACGAAAGCGACCCAAACTACCTGCACTGTTTTCTTCTTTTGTAACAATGACAAACGAACGCATAATCAGTGACAAAGAAAATAGATCACCCAGTAGAATGGATGCATTTGAATGGAACTTTATACAGGCTGATACACAAGTCGTGACCCAAAATGAAACATCATGCACAGGACCGCATTTTAAGAGGAGTCATGTATCATTTTTTTCCCGAGGGCTTCATTAAAAAGATACGGGGTTTTTTAATATCTTCAAAACCGTCAACTGGAATGAACTAAAACTTGGTATATATTGTCCACATTCAAAAGTCTTTACTTCAAAATTAACTTGCACCAGTGGCGGGGATACCAAAAAAAATAAAAGAGGCAAATAAGTTGTTTTTTAAGATGCTTAATCAAACAACAAATATTAAAGTTAGAAGAAAGACAGTGGCGTACATTTTTCACCAATAATATTCGCTAAGGTGCCCCCCGGGACGCCACTGGACCCAATAATTTTAATATATTCAGGAATAAATCAGCCTCTTAACACAACAAATAATATTACCAAATTTCAACAGAATCGAGTAAATATTTTTCAATATATTAATCACCCGCTAAAATATCTCCGCCTATTTTTCTTTTTGTCTTCTTCTTTGTCACTAAACATATTTTCAAAAGCTAAAACGATAATTTATTGATATCAGATTCCAACAGAACATATTTTGTATAGTTACCCAATGTTCCAATTTGATATCCTCCACCGATCAGTTGTTCAACAGTATCCACAACAGATGGAAAAATTGGCAAGGTGACGAAAGCTATGATCGAACCACTATAACAAGCAGTAATTATGATTGTGAACAACCAATAGAAACCTGAAAGTTACTTGTTCCTAAATGGCTTCAAATCATTAGTACAAAGATCATAACATACCAACCAAAAGCTTCGTCGTAGTTTTCTCAGCCTTGCTCCAGGATCTGCTTCCCATGAACGTAAAGCAGTTGGTGAATGTACCAAATACGTACCAAAACATATTTTCTATCTCTTCTGGGTTTTTTAGTAAAGGCTGCAGTGTATGTTTTTCAGAAAATGCCAAAGGAAATATACCTAGCATGTATACCGCTGTTACAGCTAACCATACAGTCCATTGGAAAGGACCCATTATAGCACGATACCTGAAAGCGGAATAATACTTTTCGAAATTTTGAATAAGATAGAAATAGAGAAATAATTTTTTCTCCGGTAAATGATCATATACCAATTCAAAATGAAAAAAATAAAGAGCTTATTTACTTTAAAAACAGCGTTCTGCTGTGAGCGTGTATTGTGATTTCATCGTCGAAGACCGATGTCAACAAAGGGGAGGATAATTAATAAATAACGACGCAAGCGACTTGCCGCCGCGTCTGTGTTCCTGACTTCGATGGACATTTGAATACAATATAAAATAATTATTTCCAGAAAAAGGAAAACGATTTGTTATCTGTCACATTGACAGTGAAGATGGTGTGCCCACTGCCCTATGGGCATCTGAATCGAAGAAAACGACCGACTGCCATGAAGAAATGGACGGGAGTTCATTTTTTATATTATATCGAAGCAGCCGCGCAGGCAGAAACCTAAATGCCGGAACATCGCGGCTGCTATGATGATCCTAAAGAAATTTTGTTAATATGATCATTCGGCCCGCCCTCCTCTGGACAGCATCGAGCATGGATAATGTAGTCGGGGCGGCAGCACCCCAAACGTGTGGGCAATACTCGAGGCTAGGCCTTATCTGGGCCTTCTATAGAGTGGGTCATGCGGAGAAAATTAATTCTTAGCCCTAAATAAATAGCCTAGCTTTTTCCTAGCAGCTGCCACTATTGGCGAGATGTGTTCGTGCCAGATCAGGTCCTTGGTGATCTGGACTCCGACCAGCCGAAATGAATGGCTCTTTGGCAGAACACGGCCATCCATCGAAACCGGATGAGCGCTAGGACGCTTTTTGTTCGTCAAAGTACAGTACTGTGTTTTAGAAGCATTGAACTGTACAAGATTGTTGCGTCCCCAAGCAGTGATAGCCTCCAGGTCTCTTGTCAGAGAGGAAGTCGTCACTAGTCTTCTTTTTTCCAGCTCAGAGGCTTGTCACTCTGAATTCCTGCATGTAGAGCGCTGTCATCAGCGAAGCTGTGGATTGGGTTGATCGTGTAGGTAAGGAGGTCGTTGATATGTAATAGAAACAGTGTTGGAGCCAAGACCGATCCCTGGGGAACACCCGCGTTGACGTTGTGGGATGAAGAGGAGAACCCATCAATTACGACGGATATCTTGCGGCCAAAGATAAAGTCAGCCACCCATCTGCAAAGCTTTTTTGGAAGGCGACAGGATGGAAGTTGGCTTGATAGGGCAGCGTGCCACAGCTGATCGAACGCTATCGTGACGTCAAGAGCAACGACATGAGCCTCAACATAAGACTGGATAAGTTTACACCACAATTGCGTGACGTAAGCTAGGAGATCCCCTGTGGATCTTTGGTGCCAGAAACCATACTGCCTGTCGCTAATCAGGCTGTGACGTTCGAGGTAGTCCAGAAGCTCGCGATTTATGCACCTCTCCATCACCTTACTTATAACAGAAAGCAGAGCTATAGGCCTGTAATTGTAAGGGTCGGTCTTAAATTCTTTTTTTGGAGTGGGTTGGACATGAGCAAATTTCCGATTTTCTGGGAAAGTGCCGGATTCATGGGATATCTGGAAGAGACGCGAAAGAAATGGAGCAAGCTCGGCTGCACACCTCTTCAGTACAATGGCAGGAATCAAGTCCAGGCCAGAAGCTTTGTTGTTGTCGAGCGGCAAGAGCACTCGTCTCACGATCTTGCGCCTGAATGTTACCTCCGCATAGTCTAGGGAACCCTTTGAATTGACGACACTTGGGCGTTGGGACGTCCATGGTGGAGTTGGCAGCAAAGATCTTGGCTAGCACTTCCGCCTTGGCCTTTGAGTCGAATACAATAGCTCCATCCTGACACGTAAGTGGTGGAAGGCTACTGTTTGAGAAGTTCTTTTCAATCTGCTTAGCCAGCGTCCAGAAAGACCGACTGCCATTGCGCTGCGACATTACCCTGTGCCTAACTTTAATATCGTGCTGGTTTTTGGCATTGCGAACCGCTTAGTTATATTTGTTTCTGGACTCGACGTCGGCTTGTCTGTTCTCTACAGTGGGGTTTTGTAAGTAGGTTCTGTGTGCCTTGATCTTCTGCTGGCGAGCAGTGTCACACGATTTGTTAAACCAGCCGTTGGACCCTGGTTTAGGAGCCTTCACTGTGTGAGGGATGTATTCCTCCATTCCGACGTGGATAATTTCGGTTATCGAAGAACAGACAGTCGACGCATCCGCGTCAGTGAAACAGACATCTCTCCAAGGAAAGCTAGAGAAGAAGTCTCTGAGCCCCTCCCAGTCGGCATGTCCGTAATGCCAAGTTTTGCGGCCTGTACGAGTTTCTGCTGCTACAGCGGGTTCTGACCGAAACCTAACCTCCACAACACCGTGATCTGAGTTACCCAGGGGGGACAGGACAGCAGTGCTGTAAGGGGCAGGATGCGTGGTCAAAAAGAGATCCAGCAGGCTACTGGCGTGTGGCGAGACACGGGGGAAAAAAGTAGGGCTCGTCACCAGCTGGGTCAGCCCTTGAGTAAGAGCGAACGCTTCGACTGCACGACCTGCTGCATCGGTCTTATTTGAGCCCAACCAAAGCTCATTATGGGCATTGAAATCACCGAGAAGAACTACCTCTGAAGCGGGGTGATTGATGTTCAGGAAGTCGATCTGGACGGCGAGGTATTCGAGTAGGTCATCCCAGTTATGATCCGAGGGAGAGCGATAAAGGCAGCAAATAAATTTGGGTGATGCTTTGGAGTTGAGGCGAAGCCACAGAATGTCCTTCCGGTTTGATTCCAAAGAAACATCTCTGGAGCAGGAAAGAATGCTGCGGACAAAAGCCACAACTCCCCCGTTCTTTCTCAGATTGGAGTGCTCCTCGTAGTTTGGGAAGTTGAGATTGTTAATCGGTGCAGACTCTGAGATTTTTGTCTCCGCCAAGAAAAGCACGGCGGGACGATTGGATTGCAGATAGTGATGAACAGCATCAATGTTGCTGTTAATCCCGCAGATGTTCGAAAAACAAATTGTACCTTCTATGTTGTTCCCTCGAGCCCACCCGCCACCCGGACATTCCGAGAGTGGAGTGAGTTTACGTCCAGAGTTCTTAGTGCTCGAGGGATCTATCATCATTAATTTCTTTGTTTCGGAAGATAACCGACTGCATAGCTTAGGTGTGGAAACATGCGGACATGCGGGAAAAGCTAGCGGGTGGTACCGCCTCGGTCAACTAGTCCTTGCCTACCACCTTCTCTTTACGAGTTAGTAATATTAAATGGATCTAATTGGCCCGTTGGCGGACTTGTATCGCCACCCGGCAATCGGTACTGAGGTATTCCTGAATGCGTGTACAATCACTTGAACGGGAAGAAGTTGTACGCTGGATTCAACAACTTCCGGAACAAGCATTTGCCACGGCTCCGCTCAGTGGGGGGGTAATTTGAAATGTGGTTAGAAGAAACGCTCCCGAAGCTTGACGACAATGCCGTCATTGTACTTGATACTGCTGCATACCACACTAGAAAACTAGAAAAAATTCCCACTATGTCCACAAAAAGGCAGAAATTCAACAATGGATCCTTTCAAAAGACATTAGTTTCAATTAAAGTATGGTCAAAGCAGAACTTATCCGTCTAGTCACCAATATAAATATAATGTTAATGCTATTGACGAAATAGCTAAGAACCAAAATAAGAGCGTTTTAAGGCTACCCCCTCATCACTGCAAATTAAATCCAATTGAGGTGATTTGGGCAAATATAAAAAACTATGTGGCTTTAAACAATAGAACATTCAAATTTTCTGACGTGAAAAATTTGTTTTATGAAGCTGTCAACAGAGTGACGGTAAACCATTGGAAAGATTGCATCCGTCACGTTCAAGAGACAATCGAAACAAAGATGTATGATCTAGACAATATGATCGATATTCAAATTGAACCTGTTATAATTAATATTAACGATTCGGACGTCCAGCGAAAAAAGAATTGTGAAAAGTATATGCTTTTATTTCTATAAAAATAATCATTTATTTTGTTAGATTATTCCAAGACCATTGAGGAAAATACGGACCTGTACAATCTCGCTTTTGGGCATGTTGTGTTTTGTCTGGGCGTAAATGGACTACGAGTGTTGTATAGATGGACTACCTTGTATCAGTATTTTTAAGGTTGTCATTACCTTGGCAGAGCAGTTGATGTTAAGGACATAAATGCAGCACAATCTGTAGAGTGCCACTGACTGATACCAATTCGGTATAGCTTATCTTCGGTCATATATATTCCTCCGATGCCTAGGTTAGCCTTTCTGTTTTCAACTGTACGTGCTACAGCTTCAGCAGACCTAAAATTGACATTATAATGTTCCATCAATCATCCTATAGGTGCCCGCAGGAGTTTTTCTCAGAGGGCCGAATAATATTTTGTGAAGGTGCACCTGCTCCCAGTGGCATAGCGTGGATTTTACCGACCGAAAATTTTCCGCCCGACCTATTTAATTATTTAATCAATCCAAAAGTGTACCTTTTGTGTTTTATACAGCAACATATTTTACAAATTCATCAATATCAATATGCATTTATGGCAAATGTTAATGTAATTCTCAACATCATGACAATGTTTGATAAGGCATCATCAAGTTTGGACTCCATAATATGCTTAGTGACATTACTTTTTTTTGAGCAACATAATGACTAGTATATTTAAAGCATGCAGTAGCAACAATGTCAACGTTTCATCTTTGTTTTTGTTTGCCTGTGTTAAAATGTTATCTCTTAGTTTTTGTGAAGAAAGCATTTTCTGATGAGCGCTGAGTGGTACAGATAATTTTTGTTTGTGCCCTTTCATTTATTAGTGTTAAGCATAACAAAATGCCTCCAGTTTGAATACGTCCAAATGATGTTAGCGATTTTGACAGGGGTAGAATTATTGTCTATCGAGATGTTGGTTTGCCCTATCGCGAAATTGTACTGTAATGACGGTAATACGTGTGTGTCGTGTGTGGATAGAAGAAGGTAGAGGAACACGAAGAAGGCCAATACGGGCACCCATGGATCTTTAGCTTACCCCACCGTGGCATCCTCAGTGGCTTCACGAAAATCAGTGGTGAAATTATAATGGTTACCTAAAAGTTGTACCAGTCTGATCTCAATTCCATCAAAAACCTTATCTCCTGCAGCGTTTCTTCCTCTATAATTTGAAAGACAATAGTAAGGCATCTTGTGACTACGATGCATTATTTGGTAATTGGGATGTGGATGTGGTAGTTGGAAGGTCTTATGGAGTCTTACAAAATTATTTGGATTGGTTTGAGCCCCAAAAGCCGATACAAAATTCCCGTTACCCTAAATGGTTCAGCCCTGAACTCAAGTATCTAGTCTGACGAAAGAAGATGGTCCATAATATTTTTATAGAAACAAACCAATATGAGGACTATGTGACTTTCTCAGAGTTACGCTCTTTATGTAAAGAAGAACATAAGCGATGTCATGCAATGCATACTGATCAAGTCCAGGAATCTTTTGTAGCTGATCCGTAGCACTTTTGGGGAGACGTAAAGAGCTTAAGAAATTCAAGTAACTTGGAGGGATTTAGACTGCAAGATGGAATGACGATGAGTAATTTGTTTGCAAAGCACATTAGTGGTGTATACAATTCTGTGTATCCTGCATCCTCTTTTTTATTAGCTTGGATTGGTTTGTGCCTCAAAAGCGGATAAAAAACTCTCGTTTCCCTAAATGGTTCAGCCTTGAACTCAAAGATCTAGCCTGACGAAAAAAGATAATCCATAAGAGTTTTTTAGAAACAAACCTATACGAGGACTATGTGACTTTCTTAGAGTTACGTTCTCTATGTAAAGAAGAACATGAGCGATGTCATGCAATTCATATTGATCGAGAGGAATCTTTTGTAGCGCTTTTGGGGATAGGCTGCTGTCGGATTTTTTTGTTTCTATTTTTGTGCCAATCAATCGCTTTAAACTTACTTATTTATGACAAAAGGTGGCTGGTTGGCCATAGCAACTATAAATCTGTGTCCAGAAAATCCACTATACATCTTTTTCGGAAATAGGTTCACGTCCCTGGTGTATCGTCCATTTTGGAAACTTGTCAGCACTAGTGGCTTACTTGAACCCAATGCGTCCGTATACATATTGTGTGTATACAAAATATAAGGCGCCTCCTATAACAAAAAATAGAATCAAGTAGATTTACTCGGCACTCTCAATGCAATGATCCATTGACAAAAAAGTAATTATTTAACTTATGGTTGGTGGACCGTGGAATAAAAGGTTATTCCTTTATTTACGGGATAAATGAAACAAATGAATTATTACTTTGTTCTATTATGTGACTGTTTTGATTGCAGAGTTAGTCATTATTTATTTAATTCAAGTTTTATTGAACTCTTCCGAACGGCCTTACAAGGAGCAAGGCCCATACAAGGCCAACATACGAGCCCTAACACAAAATAGTTTGGACATTATCCAATTTTATCTTGAAGTTTGTTTATTTTTTAAGGTAACACAATATTTTTTCTTTTATAAGACATTGAAATATATTGTTTGGACATCATATTAACAAAACTATTATCAAGTAATATGATATTAAACTCTAAGACTACACTAATATTGATACCAACAATAGGTATACTAAGTGACATATAAATCCGAACACCCAGTTTAAATGGTTTTATTTTAATAAAATTTTGTATAAGTACTTAATGAAGCATAATAAGTAAATGATAAAAATTTCAAAATGATTGCACTTCTTTAAAGCCCTTTGACCTTTAATAATGTGTGGATGCACCCTGATGTGCTACGCATCCCCAACGCGCCTAGGCATGCTTCTGATCAGGTGGTCAAAGTCCTCCTGTGGTATCTCCTACCCATCATATCCCACACGTGCTCAATTGGGGATAAGTCGGGAGATCTTGGTAGCCATGGTAACAATGTGACATCGTTATGTTGAAAGAAGTGTATTGTGACTCTTGCAACATGTGGTCGGGCATTATCTTGTTGGAAAGTTGGATCTGCCAGGGTGTCAAGATAGGGTAAAAGATGGGGTTCTAGAACTTCGTGGATATAACGTTGCGCGTTCATGTTACCTCTGATGAAGATTAAAGGTGACCTGGAACCATAAGCTATAGCACCCCAAACCATAACTCCAACAGTGTGATGAACATGTCTTTCAACAAAAAACTGTGGATTCCTCCTTTCACCACGTCGCCTTCTAACACTGGCACGACCATCGTGCATGCCTAAACAAAATCGAGACTCGTCACTAAAGACAATACTGTTCTATTCCTGATCCCAGAGTGACCGTTGTCTGCACCACTCAAGGCGATTACGTCGGTGTAAGGGTTAGAAGGCGACGTGGTGAAAGGAGGAATCCACAGTTTTTTGTTGAAAGACATGTTCATCACACTGTTGGAGTTATGGTTTGGGGTGCTATAGCTTATGGTTCCAGGTCACCTTTAATCTTCATCAGAGGTAACATGAACGCGCAGCGTTATATCCACGAAGTTCTAGAACCCCATCTTTTACCCTATCTTGACACCCTGGCAGATCCAACTTTCCAACAAGATAATGCCCGACCACATGTTGCAAGAGTCACAATAGACTTCTTTCAACATAATGATGTCACATTGTTACCATGGCCACCAAAATCTCCCGACTTATCCCCAATTGAGCACGTGTGGGATATGATGGGTAGGAGATTGCTCAATTTGTAACGTCCTCCTCAGACTCTAGAAGCACTTTGAGAGGAGTTGGTGGTTGCCTGGAATGAGATACCACAGGAGGACTTTGACCACCTGATCAGAAGCATGCCTAGGCGCGTTGGGGAATGCGTAGCACATCAGGGTGCATCCACACATTATTAAAGGTCAAAGGGCTTTAAAGAAGTGCAATCATTTTGAAATTTTTATCATTTACTTATTATGCTTCATCAAGTACTTATACAAAATTTTATTAAAATAAAACCATTTAAACTGGGTGTTCGGATTTATATGTCACTTAGTATATTTGGCTAGCACATAAATGTTCGGACGAACCATTTCAATAGCTCGTTACGTCTCCATTTGCCTTGATAACAGCATTAATTCTGGCTTGCATTGTTTTACCCAGGTTTTCGCAGTCTTCCGCCGTGAAAGTGTCCCATATACTTTGTAGTTTTACTCGCAAATCAGATATGTTCCTTTGTGGATCTTTTCTTAACTGCTGCTTGATTTTGTGCCATACAGTGTCGAGAATATTTAAATCAGGATTACTGGAAGGGCAGTCAAGGACGAAAATATTATCCTGCAACCATTTTTTTAATGGTTTTCGCCGTATGACATGCGCTCTATCTTGTTGAAAAATTAAATTTTGTCGAGGATAGGTAAGCAAAGCAATTCAACTCGCAGCGGTCTTCGGTTCAGAACAGTTTATTGAGTACTTGTTCATGAATGTGTAGATACGCGACAGGTGTAGGCCGGGCTTCCGCGTCCACGATCCGCGCGCGTGCGCTGGCTGCTGTTGTTCTTCGACTGGTTTCCACGACTGACTCTTTACGACTGACTCGCATCTCACATAACACCTACTTTATAAAGGAATCTGTAATGCTAAGGTTTATCACTAAGTTTGTAGCGCCATCTCAGGGACATTCTCCGATCTTTTTATAGAACCTTTACGAACCCTTAAAAAATATCGAATACCTAGCGCCATCTTTGGACTTCCCTATTACACTGTGGCGCTAAATTTGAATATTATATTCAAATTATATATAAGGTATTTTAGGTAAAATAACGCGCAACCTGATTGTATTTTTAAAACGTGTATTTTTTTAATACAATACATAAAAATAACAGTTATGCAAGTTGTTAGGAATCTAAAAGTAGTCGGTATTACCGATGTACTATCGCGTGCATAAGAAACTTGAACAGCATCTATTGTTATCAGACATGCATTGCCACGGATCTCTTATCAGTGTGACAGTGCCTTGTTATCTTTTTATAAGATAAGGTCATCGATAGTTCAGGAGATATGCGATGTCCATGTGTTTTCTGCACGTGGTAGTACCTATGTAAAGTATAAAATAACAATCTTCTTGAGAACAAATGAGTAATTAATTTATAAAAGTAAAAATAGGAAAATTTTTAACTAAATATTAAGTAACTAAAAATAAAACTGAAATATTCTTAATAAATTAGAAAATAAATTTCAAAAAAGGAATATACTGAAAGTAAACTAAATAAAAAATAAAAATAGATACCTTTAGCAGTTGCCGAATTTCTAGAAGGAGTAGTTCAGTTGATGTCTTCAGATAATCCTGCTTTTGGGCTATAGCTTTCAGCCCAGCATTCACCTATGAATAAAAAAAATAAAAATAAAAGGAGTTGAAAACCACATAGAAATATTTGACTGAATATTACTTTATATATACAAGTTTGAAAATTTATTTGATTGAATTAAATTTAAGTTTTTTTAAAACTAAATACTTGCCAAATATATACTGAAACATACTTACATTTTAAATGTTTTGGGGGAGCTGAATTCAAGTCTTTAGATGAGCCTGGTCTTGGATGTTATGAGGAATGTTCAATATTTACTAAACGTTTTCCTAATACAGAAGTGTTTCTTTTAGGACTTATGTGAGTATATTCAGTAGTACTTTGGATGTTACACTTCTCTGTTGCTGAGCCCTCCTGGTTACCTGAAAGTAATTTTTTTTTGAAAAAGTGTGTGTCAATAGTTGAAGTAATTATACATACATATTATAGCTCTCACTTTATTAATGTACATTTTTAACAAGTTTCTAATATTTATAAATCTGTCACTATCTAAAGTAAAATAACTATTTTTAAACTTACCTTCTTCATATATAATGTTTTCTTGGACCAACTTGGTGTCGGTTGAAGAACTCTTCAATAGAATTGTTTTAAGGGTCTCTTTCATTTTTGCAGCCAACGGATTAGCAATTTTCCTACTACCTTCATGAAATTCGGGACTACTCTGAACATTTTCCGAAACCATACCTAAAAAAACAATTGAATTTCATTATATGTTTATAATGCTAGGAAAGTTTTTCAAAAAATTGTGGAAACCGTAAATACTCTGAAAGTTTTCAGGATACCAAAATGTTCGTATCATCTAATCCTGATTATTCACTGATTGGTTTATAAATGTAAACAAAGTTATTACTTACTTGAAGATTGAAGTTCAGAAAGATGTAATGTAAGAAAAGCTGTTCTTTTCAAACCTCACTTGGTTCCACGCACTTTATCACTTTTCGAAAAATGTAAGTCACAAACCAAATAGCTATTATTAATTTTGTTCGTGATTTTTATTGTCCAAAATTGGATTTGCTCGATCCATTTGTTGAAAAGAGCGGTATCATATTTTGGAAATGTATGCCTTTTACTGATTGTATCAGTACAACCAGGCACTACGGACTTTTTAAGTCCCCGCTTTCGATAAGCCTCCATTACAAAAAGTAAGTTTGTGAATTGAAATTCAGTTAAAGCTCAATGAATATCAGTATCACCGACACAGAACTAATAAAAACGCGGGCGCCGCACACGATTCAACTTTATATTCAACGTATATCAACCTCAAAGCATTGAACTGTCAAAAAGAACGGAAAAACCTAGTATCAGCGCCACTCTGTTGTTACACTCCGTACTAAGTATATAAGAATATCTGGCTGCCTACAAAATGCACCTTCAAAGTCACTCATTTAACTTTCCCTTATACTGACTGCATTTGCATTCCTGGTGCGGCGCGCATGCACAGAACGGTGGTTACAAGCTTCAAGGTTAGGCGGCGTGTCTGGTCGTCTCGCCAGTAGCGGCGCGGCAGGGTGACGCTAGTACGCGTTCCAACAAATTTTTATGAGGTGATGAAATTGGAATTGACACTAGCGAACTGGTTTCAAGGATATTTTGATATTTAGCTGCGTTTAAAGTTCGATCTTTGACGCAGGCAGATATGCTTCCCCATACCATCAAACCTGATGCAAACTTTGCGACATTTATTTGTTTAGCAATATCCCGAAAACTCTTTCCTTGATGGAACAATTTTTGATTAAAACTCTGATTGCACCGTTTGTTGCTTTACCACGCGACATTCTAAAGCAAATTGAGTCACAGAATTGACTCTTAAATCAGAACGTCAAATTGTAAACACTTTATTGTTTCCATGA